GATATTTCCTTTGGTTTTTCTTGAGTTGCCAAAAAAGGAAATTTTTAAAATTTTTTGTGATTTGCGGAAAGAGTTTTAATAAGTTCATGTTTAATTAATTGAATGTTCAAATTTGTTTGATATATTTTTTATCTAGCATCTATTTTATAACTGTATATAAGTTAATATTAAAAAACTTTGCAGTTACCATATTAATAACTGTAATATTTACAATTGCTTCTAGGTTTGCCAATTCTGAAGCTGTATTTGTTGCACCATTTTTAATTAAAGTATGAAACTATCTTTGCTTATCTTCATTATGGTTGTCTTTAATTGTTTTTAGATAATATATTATTAAGTTTTCTATTTGGATTGAACTGAAATTAATTATAGTATTAAACTTTTGTTGGATTGATACATATGAACAAGTTTGCTTTGTTATTTGTTTTTTGATATGTGTTTATTTGTTTAGAATAGCTTGTTATAGGTATTATTATATCTTTTTGATATAAAAAATTAAAATTGACATATGTTATATTAAGGAGTTGAAGTTTGAGATTTGCTTGTTTTAGCAAGCCCAGTTATGTTTTGTTACTTGATTTGTGATGTGGATATGTCTGTGTTACTACAAATCTTTTTCTTAGAAGTAAGCAAACTTTGTAAATTTGAGATTGTTATAAATATATGTTTATGTTTTGAATTGTATTTGTTTGTTTTGTAATTGTTATTATTATTTGACTTGGAAAAGTACATGTTTGCATTACTGTTGAGCTTTGAAAGAAAGTAAACTGTTTTTTGTTTTTCTGTTTCCAAAAATTTTAATTGCATAACAGTTGTTATTATTATTAGTTTGTTTGTAAAAATAACTAGAATTTTCAATTATTATATATTATTCTATTAAGTTCTTCAATTATTAATATAATAATTATAACTAACTAGCATATTGTTAGTTGTATTAGTATTATACATGTGACATAAATTATTTGCTATTAATTTAATTTCTAAAATTCTCAAATAATTGCATCATGTCTTGATTATTTATATGTTTTAATAATGGCTCAATTAATTATGTCAAATAATTGCATCAATTGTATCTAGAATCTAAAAATTTTAATATTAAATATTGTAAAGTGTAATTCTTTTGATACTTTTAGATAATAATAGTTGTATAGAAATTTTTTGGATATATCTAATTTAACCATTAATCAATAAAAAATATTAGGTTTGAAAATAATAATCTCAATTATAATAAACAAGAGACTTAGTAACTATCTTTAAAAAAAAAATAATGACTATAATTGCTTGTTGATATTCTTGTAACTTAAAATTATACTTAGTATCAAAACGGTTTCCGTTTCCTAGTATAAAATAAAGTCAATGAATATTTAATACAAAAAATTTCTTTTTAAAGAGGGTCCTTTGCATAGTAAAACCGAGACAGATCTTATCGGTCAGTCAAATAGACTAACGATTATTGTATTCGCGTACAGCGACCGTATTGTGTTTTGGGCATGCAAAAAAGATGATTGTATAGTATATTCAGGTCTTCACTGTAAAAAGAAATGGTCACCTTTTATAAAGGAAAAATTATATCTTCAAAATCAGCATGAATTATACTTACAGTATATCGTTCTTTGTTGCTTTTGAGATTGATGGCGGTCAAATTCAAAGGTTCAGACATTGATAACGCGAATATGTAGTGGAGCCGTTACCTGGTTAAAGAGCGATTTAGAATTTCCGCTCTTAGAGGTCTTACCTGGTTATTAATGACTTCGAGACAGAATCCGTTTTCTAACTTGCATGAAAGTCAGTAGTAATGTGTTCTTGTTAGCGAGTTGAATGCAATGTTTCTTTACGGATTACAATGCAAAAAAGAAAAAAGGGTAATTTAAATGAAGCTGGAAAAGAGTTTTATTAAAATTACAAGAGTTAGAGACAATTTCACCACTCCTTAAATGAACAGTACATGAATCTATAGAAAAAAAAACGACTAATTACTAAAAGAACATCTTATAGAATAATAAATTACGATTATTTTATTCTCCTTTACAAATTAATAATAATAATAATAATAATAATAATAATAATAATAATAATAATAACTATCTAATGAAATGCAAGATAAAAACAATCACCTTTTATTTAATATACACCACACGCACTAAGCTTTCCCACATAATAGGCTAGTGTCATAAGGGCAAACATTAAACCAGCTTCTTGTGGACTAAAGCCAATTTCTTTTTTGCCCAATAAAATACTAATTCTCTTATTACTAACGTCACCAATTGTGATGAAACTAACTCTTCGGTTGGACATACTGTTATGTTCATCTTTCTTTAATTCATTATCGACTTCGTAAAATTGATTTTGATTTATCAAATGTTCGGGCAACATGCGTGAAGATATTCTACGCGAAGACCTTTGTTGTGAAGATATTCCTCGTGAGGCCCCCTTTTTTTGTAAAGAGTTTCTATATGAGGCCTTTTGTTGCGGAGTTGGTCGCGTGGAATGTGAATCATGTGCAGAAGTTGAATTGTTGGTCTGTTCGGTGGTCGATGATGGCACAGTAACAAAGTCGGACGTGTACGTTTCACTAGATTGAGTGAATATGGGCTCAGGGATGTACTTCGTTGCGTTAACTTCGAAAAGCGGCGCAGGAACATATTTTTTTGCATATTGATCGGGCCTAGGGATTGAATAGTCAATGTTTTCGATGTCTTGTTCAACCTATAACGAAAAAAAAATTATTTTTTTTTAATTTCACATAAAATAATAATTATGAATGAACTCGAATGGATAATCACCTTGGAACTTTTACTCTTGGATATTTCATGTTGCGTCATTGCATTTTGAACTTCTATTACATAGAATGATGTAAAATTTAGCATAAAAAAATATCAATTCAAACGATCTCAAACTTTATAAGATTACCTTCGATGGGTTTAAGTGTGTCGGGGCTTGTAATTCCGCTTTGATCGTAACTTAATTTACCATTTTTCGATTGATCTTGCTCCTTTAAAACTTTTTCATTGGCATAGCTATTTCTTTTTTCATTAGTAGGGGGAGTTTCATTATTATCGTAGGTTGATTTTTTCGATGACAAAAATGGTTCAACAATCTCTTCGTGTTCTACCGAATCCTCAATGGATACAATCGATTCGACTTCGAGCTTTTCGACCTCTTGCAAATGTGTAATGACACCTTCTCCGTTGAAAGTGTACTGAGCATCTTCCGAGTAATATTTTGTAATCTTCACGTTCAGAGTTTCTATTTCTATTTCAGTAGGTAATGTTATTCTAACAACATTCGTATCAGATAACTCGACTCTTGAACTTTCGGGTATAACATCAATGTTAAAACCAGAAGGATACATCACATTTGATACTTTGATCTCTGTCACATTATCACCATTAACAGATCCTATTGTCAGATCGTATTGATAGGTCTTTGTGTCTAATGCCTCCGAAATTACTATTCCCGAGGTAGTTTTTATGTACGGTGGATGACCCGTTTTTCTTATCTGTTCATCAACCTTTGCAACACACATGGGCGTTTGCGTCGATATACTCTTGAGTATCGAAGAAGGTATAGATTCCAGTTTTATGTCAATATCAACAATGTAGATCACCTCAACTGAGTTGGCTTTCCCAAATTCGTCAATAACTGGTTGTAGTCTCCATCCGGCAACATTTAATTCTGCACGGACGTGCTTCTTAGTTTCTGGAACCAACGGATCCGATACCGATATGCTTGCTAACCAAATGGTGCCGGTTTCCGGATCTTTTTCGATTTTGGATATTGTTGCGAGGTCCCGGCCACTGGGAATGAATAGTAAGTAAACTCGTAAATTATACATGAAGATTACATGAACGATTGCAACCTACCTAATAGGAAAAGTTCCTTTCATACAAACCCTGGCAAGTATATCATCACCTTGCCCAAGTCTTTCAACCACTTTCCCTTCATCGAATCGGTCATCCCAAAGCTTTCTCATGTCCATGCTGACAATAACCGATAAAATGTCTTCGGGAGTGAATCCGTCGGAAATAATGGTTTCACCGCGCACCTGCGGTGTCGACTTATCAGGAACATCTCTCATGAAAATTTTCACACCTTGGTTATCGGTATAAAGGTTCCACCCGTCGTAATTGCTAGTCAAAAATTTAATTTTAGCTACTGCTCTATTTGCTGATTCTGTATGGCGATGTGTTATTTTTCGTAGGGAATTTTGTTTAGTCGAAGAATCAAATAAGCGGTGAAGATGTAAAGGTGGCAATGTATGCCTCGGAGCCGAATACTTGTTGTCAGAACCAATTGCACTTTGTCGGAGAGTTGAAAATGGGGAAGATACGGGTGCTTCTTTAGACGTGAGACTAGGATTAGACGAGGATTTTCGATTGCGAAAAGGTATGCGCTCAGTCCCTTCGTCCATGATTAGTGAAGTTGGTTCAATTTCTTTGAGACCGCTCATCCGTGGGACCTTTTTTTTTTTCGAGTGTTTGGTATCCGTACTTTCATTATCATTTCTTTTATATCGAATGAAATCAATTGGTCAAATAGAGTCCAAAAGAGAGACTTAAATATATTTACAATCATTTTATTTTCGAAGTAACTTACGAGACTTCACTTGTTGTCCTTTTAGAAATTCTTCGAGAAGGAGGTGGAGTAGTGCTGATGATCATTGGTGGCGGTCCATTCTTTTTCAAATAGATCTCAATGTTATGGAGCACAAGTGGTCGCCTCATCAAATATTTCTTGGCGATTAATGATGGTACCCATCCATTAATGTCCACTTGTAAGATGTAAGTAATTTTGGTTTTTGGTGGCGAAGAAAGTATTGGTTCGAGTATCCAACCGTTAATTTTAAGATCTGCCCGGATCCTTCCGTCCATACGGGGAACCTTTGGGTTGTCTATCGACGTTGCAACAAAAAAGATTGTTCCGCTTGGAGTGCATTCAACCTTTTCCACCAGGGACAAATCTCTAGTCCTGTGAAGTAAGAGGACAAGATATAATAAATGGACATTGAGGTAAAAAAAAAATGCATCTATTTAAATGTCACGAATAATTACTTGGAACCAGAAAATGCCCGCATGACCATATAGGTCGAACTTATCGTGTCATTCAAATTTTCTACGAGACTACCTTCCTCGTACCTAAAACATTGATTCTTTATTCAATTATTTATGCTACCGATAATGTCACGTCCACACTATAATAAAATCTTACCACTCATCCCAAAGCTTTCTCATTCCGATAACGGCAAAAACCGACTGTGGTGAGATTCCGGAAATGATGTGTTCACCCATGAATATCGGGATTCTATCATGTTGATTTGTTCCAGGTTTAAAATAAACGTCGACACCGCTTTTGTGTGTTAGAATTTTCTCCCATCCAGATTTCATGATAATTTCTTTTAAAGTTTTCAACGCTTTTTCAGCTTGTTTCACATGATAACTTGGCGTAGATTTGTAGTCATCTGGTCTGGATGAGTTTCTGACATGGGTGGAAGCTCGAGTTACGGGGTATTCAACGGCTGTCTCTTCTCCGTCTACAAGGAGAGATTCCTCTTCAATATAATCTTCTTCGTACTCTAAACTATCCTCGTATGGTATGTATTGACTTTTTTGACGTCTTCCACTCATGATATTTAAATTTATTTCTTTCGTTCAAATAAAAAAATATTACTGAAGACAATTAATAAAATTAGCAAAGGTGAACAAGTGATGTTTCGTAATGATATTCGTTATAAAAAAAAAAGAATTCGTTTTTTCCCCCCTTGTCTTTACTTTTTTCACTGAGGGGAGTCAAATGGAAGACCGAAAAAGAAGTTGTCCAGGGAATCTCATTTATATAATATTTGAATCGAAAATGACGTTGCCTGAGCGGCGACTTAAATGAATATTGCTAATTAAGGGTTTCGCGGACCACTAGATGATTGGTAATATCGGTAATGAGGATATGATCAAGCACATGCTTTTTAGTTATTGTGGGAGAGGAAAAACAATGATTTTGAGCATTTCTATTTTCCTCTAATAGTTATATGGTGCAAGGGTTATATAGATAATTGCTATTTTATCGCGGATTTCATATCACTCCCTCACGTTTTAATTTAATTAAATCACGTAACATTTTTGGTGCGATAATCAAATCATCATCTCGGGTTTATGTCCAAAAGTGGAGTAGTCGGTAGACACATGAAAACTACCCGTACAATTTGGAAAGCAGTATCGAGAAAAATGCGGCAAATATGTCGATCACGTGATTATCATTATCATTACCAATTAAGCAAAACTCTAATTCACAATTTCCGTGCAGATGCGCAAAAACTTGTTATGTAATATTGCATTTGGTCTAAGGACCACGACCTCGGATAGACTCACATGATTTATGACTAAGCCGTGACGTGAATTTTTTTTTTTAAAAAAAAAAAAAAAGATGCATGTCTATTTATATCTAAAAAAATCCAGAACAATTAATAATTGATCGACTATTACTAGGAAAACGAAAACCGTCGTTAAGTCCGGAGCTTTAAAAGTTACTATTTCAGATTTGTATATCAACTGGAGCCAATGATTTCATTGACTCAGTTCTTGAGCGGGGGAAACGCGGACATTGCGTAGAAATACAGTATATAGTCCTACGCTTACGTTCCGGACTAAATTAAATTATCATATGGTATATGAAAAAGATTGATCTCATGAAGTTTTAAAATATCGGTATTAATATTACTTCATCTATTGGTTTCGTGTTTTTTCGGTGAAAATTCTGGAAATTATATTGCCATTCACAAAAAAAAAACCCAACTTCAAAACAATATCAACGGATTCAATAATTTTAAGGTATTTAAGTTTCGCCGACTCAGCAAATTTAATAATGTTCCCATCAAGGAAACTAATACTGCTCTGTTTCTTTTTGACATCCTAAATAATTTCTAAACGTATTTATCACAGATTGCCTTTAAAGCTACTGCAGATTGGCGTAACTTTTCTTTTTCTTCAGGAGTCAATGGAACATCAATCACCCTTTCAATACCATTATTTCCTAAAACAACGGGCATGCTGAACACGCATTCATATTCTTCAACATAGATACTTAGAGGGCGGACGTGATGTTGGTTAAGTAGAATGCATTGAACCAACATTGAAACGCATCCAGCAATCCCATAATATGTCGCACCTTTGAGTTTAATAATTTCATAGGCTTTTCCTGCAATCTCTTTAGATACTAGATCTTTATCCAGACTCGCAATTTCAGGGAACTCCAACAGAGGCTTACCACCGACATGAGCTGAGCTCCATGCAATAATTTGCGAATCTCCATGTTCACCTAATACATAACTGTGAACTGCATTCTCGGCAACCTATAAAATATTATAAATCGGTTAGAATTTTTAGGGATTCTTGAAACAAGTTATTTTAATTACCCCGATTTCTTTGGCTAATTTGAGTCGCAGTCTTGCTGAATCTAAGAAAGTGCCCGATCCAAAAACTTGATTTTTTGGCAAGCCTGAGAGTTTTTGTGCAATATGTGTCAAAATGTCAACCTTTTGTGATAAAATCAGATTATTAATAAGACGACTTCCAGAAAAAAGATAAAAAATGAATGTCATTTTCTTACTGGATTAGCAACCAATAATAATATAACATTTGGATTAAGAGGCTTCATGGAGTTGATCACATTATCCAAGATTTTGTAGTTTCTTTCGATTAACTACAAAAATTGTTTGACCAGTTATCATTCTTATAAAAATAACAGTCCATGTTATAATAGGCAATACCTCTACTCTTGTCTCGTTAGGTCTTTGTTTGGCACCGGCAGTAATAATAATAATGTCACATTTCCCAGCCTCCTCAAATGTTCCGGCGCGAACTTGAGTGGAAGATATGAAATTTGCATCTGAAAGATCAAGTACTTGTCCTTTGACAACTTCTTGTACGATATCGACCATAATAATTTCAGAGCATATCTTTTGAATAAGTAGGGCGAAAGCTATTGATGCACCGACAGAACCGGATCCAACAACGGCAACGCGCGAGCCTTGAACCATGACTACAATCTCTTGGGCAGTGTGTAATGATCTGCCATATTCTTATAACAATCATCCGATGTCAATCACTTTATTAGTATAAATTTAGAATCGATACTATGATTATAGATGTAACACGTGATGCAGATCCGATTATAGAACATCGAATACGATATTAGAATTGTAATCCTTTAATATTAATATAGTATCTAAATTTTATCTTCTTTTTTAATTTTTCCAAACATTAAATATTGATTGAAAGTCAAAATTTTCTAATTCTTGTTCTAATGAAATACACATAAACATATTTAAAATATTATTATTACTAGAATTATATAATTTAATTTTGTTTTGAAAATTCATATTTACAATTAACAATTAAAAATAAAATATTATAAATATTTTTAATTAAATAATTATAATAATTTGAAAATATAGTTTCTATAGGTTATTATTGGTAATTAATAATTATATTTTTTAAAAAATCAATTATTTACTATAAAAAGTTTTTATATTAAAATATATTTTGTTAAAATAATTTATAAGAATTAAAAATTTTCTAAATTTTCTAATTCAATTAATAATTATTTCTTTTAGATTAAAAAAATTTTTTTTTTTTTTTTAGTAGATAAACATTGTTGCTTTATTATAATTGTAAAATTGAAAAATTTATACATGAAAAAAGTAACAACATCTCTTATATAACCAATTGATTAATGAGTTAAATGCTAACTTGCCTATAGTAAACTATCTAAGTTATAAAAGAAAATAAATATTAAAACCAATATATTGTCAAAAATAATACTGAGCAACTATGAATACCTACTCAGATTTATGTGTAAAAAAATTATAAGAAGTAAAAAAAAAAATAAACAAGAAAATACTAGACAAAAAAACAATAACAAAAAAACTAATTATAATATAAATAAAATCTAATATCACTCTGGTGGTTTTACTTTCCTGAAGTATTATTGTACTTTCTGAAATGGCCATGCTACAGCTCATAATATATAATAGTGTTGATGACATGTAGTGGTAATTGTTATTGTTGTGTTGGTATAATTGATGGTTGATAAGATGATTGGTTTATAAGTTAGTAGTATGATTTTGTTTTGATTATAATCACCAAAACTGGTTTTTTTTATGTTATTTAGTGGGTAGTATTTTAGTAGTATATATTTGTTTGAATAATTGATAGTGTTTGATTGGTTGGTTTTAAGATGGTGATCAATTGACAGGAGTAAACTGATTGCAAT